CCTTCAGCCTTTCCCTTGATGGAGACAACAGAAAAAGAGGCAGATCAACAAAATCCAACATAGGGGATTATTAATTGATCCAATACCAAATTTCCCCAAACTAAAGTCACAATCATTGTATGGAAGACAATATGGAGAATTTCTTGAGTTGAGGGCTTAAGACTAACAGAAGACTAGCAAGAACCATGAAAAAACTCAGTACACGACAGATCCTTAATAGTCTCTGAAACCATTGCTGAGAACTGAACAGTCTTGTCATGGGCCTAGTTTTTTAAAGGGTGGACAACACTATCCAAGGGATAAATTAATATCCAGTGGAAAAGTGTCAACAAAACATAGTGCCCAATCAAATGGAGAGAGCTTTATCCAGCAGATAGTATTATCTACCCTTTGAACAATACTACAATAAAAGAAAAATTAAATCATTTTTGGCAAGATTTACCCAGAAGTTCTGCTAGTTGATACAAGTGGTCTCTTTCTACTCCTGTAAACTGACTGATTGACAAAACACATCTACTGAGTGGTTTTCCAGCATCTGGGATGCTGAATGGCTTAAAGAGAAAGCCACACTCCAGGGCCAAAAGATGGCCACATTCCAAGCTCTTCTCTAACCAGCAAAATGTAACCTGTAAGATATTTTAACTTTGTTATAACTGCAAGCTTCCTGTGATAATTTTTTTTACCTGAATGTGAATCCCTTAACTTTAACAATGATCCCTTGTTAAAAACCTTTAGAGGATAAGACTAAAGAAATAAAATAGCAACACTTTCTGTTTTGACAAGGGATCAGAAAGGATATTTAAACATTTACGCCCATCCAACAAGAATTCTCAAGCTGAATTTTGATTCCTGAATGGTTATTAGTCAGCAATGGACCCAATGTGTAGCACATTCTCTTTGTTACTCCACACCATTTTCCTTCAATTATCATTTCCAAAAGAAAACCTTGATTAAAAAAATTTAGTCTCAGCAGTCAAGTGACCTACAAATCTAGGCTTTGATTGTTGTTTCAACTCTGGAAGCTGGGGTGAAATGCAATTTTGTCACAAGTAACCACCCTTATATGCCTTCCAGTTTCAAAGACAGTGTGATGGAACCCTCTTAAACTACTGGTTGGTGATTTTAGATTGTAGGAGTTAAGTATCTTTACCATGAATATAACAGGGTCACCTTGCCACCTTCTATTTTATTCACCCAGTCTCCTACAATTTACTCACTGTAAATTATTGTTTTCTTCCACACAAGAACATGTTAAAATTGTATACTGTAAGTATGCAAACATAAAGTTACTTACTAGCTGTTTTGCATGTAAATCTTCTTCAAGAACTGTGTTCATTGGCAACACTGCATAGTCAGCTGTTTGTCCACTGGCAACAGCCTTTCCTCCATTGCTCTCTATAAGATGCCAGAGGTGTGTCAGCTGTTCACTGGAAAAACCAGCCACTGTGAAGTACTTTCCAGACAGTAATCCTTCTTGGAAAGCTTCTTCTTCTTCGTCATCAAGTGTAGCATCAGGATCAGCACTTAGACTACTGTGCTCTGGTAGGTGAAAAAACTTCAGTAATTACTAAATTCAAGGTCTGCACAGCAAGTTAAGGGTGATGTAGCCCAGTCAATTTAACCAAAAAGGGAAAAACTAGGAATCTTAATTAACAACTCTTCTGTACATCTGAAGGGTTTGGGAATCACCTCTTGTACATGTAATAACTTCAAATGACTCATAAGCACCCAAAACAAAAAGAGTCAGTTTGAAATTATCTCAGTCTGCTTATTAGCATGTTTTAACCCACAATATTTACAGCAAACTCATAATTCTCATGTTAACTATACTATACTGAACCTTTGAACTGTGCACTGGTGTCTCCTTGAGGAAGGTTGTGCACAGGTTCATTGCCTTTCTCTTCACTCTGAGGCAGATATTGTAAGAAAACATCATCATAATCATCATCGCCATCACAATGATCCTCCTTTGGCTTGGCCTTTGTGTCCTTATGATTTTCCTCTGATGCATTTGGCTGAAGAATAGAGACACTTTTTGTTGCTTTTGAAATGGCTTTATCAGGATCCTTGTTCTCTTTGCATGACAGTGAAAGATCTTCCCTTTGTAATAGATCTGAGAGAAGATAAGCTGCAAAGAGAAAATACAATGGAACAGAAGTGATTCAAATTACTATAGATAATAATTTGCATCCAGTCAAGGGTCAAGTTCACTTGTGTCTAAATTATAGACTTAAGTATTATTAACTTCTTACCAAGCATGAGGACTGCACTGAGGAATATTGGCCTGAGGTTGTGGCAGTATGGACAAAACACAGGGAGTTTAGTGCAGAAATAACTGAGGGCCTATATTCCTCAGCAGCTCAAGGAAGCAAGGTTAATAAGTAGTTTATAGCGGGGCACTTGCACGAAACTTTTTTGTTTTTAATTTGTTGTCTTTTGCAAACAAAAATACATGGTGCATGACCATTTCCATGGAAATGGTCAATTTTGCAAAATCCCAACCAAGCAAGAACCAATCATTGCACTAGGATTTCCTTAGGACTTCTTTTCCATATAGTAAAGGATTTTATCACATTTGTAAGAGGAAAAGTGCCCAAGGGAGAGTTCGTTCAGTTCATCTTCATATTATTGAGGACCCAGATATTGAGAAGAATCTGTTTTATGAAGTATCATAATCATAAAATATGTTATCAATCATTCAAATGTACCAGTGACTCATGACATTATTAATAGCAAATGGTATTAAAAAATAAGTTAAAAAAAATTTAATACTGTTTGTTCATATCTTTACCCATTAAGCAATGTTATTACCCATAAGGAGTGACCAGAGATCAATTTTTACTTAAAAAATCAGTACATCTTAGGGAAGAAACAAGGCTGTGCTCTAAGGAAAATTTCAGGGAGCCCTTTGGGCTCCCAAGCGTTTTAGCTTGGGTGCCCAGGCCTAAAAGATGGTCGCCCAAATCAAAATTTCGGGGAGCCCTTCGGGCTCCCAAACATTTTAGCTAAGGTGCCCGGGCCTCCTAGTTGGTTGCCCAAATTAATAAATCAGTCAGTTAATTATTAAAAATTAAACAAACTGTTTTCGTAACAAGTCAAATAGAACTATGTGTATTTATTGATCAGCAAACTCGCTAATTTTTAGCCAAAGCGTGTGAAAAAAAACCCGCATGTTGTCATATGAAACCCATCAAAGTTTTCACGCCATGAGAAACAAGGGCGAAGCTGTCGAATTTTTCATGTTTTTTTTTAATGAAAAGTAAGATTAAGGTCTGTTTAGGTAATTTTTATTAAAATGTTTCGGTCAAAAATAAGAAAACTATTCTTTTTACTAATCATTTAGGTTGAAAAGAAAATTCGCTTGCGACAAACGACTGAGATCCCATGGCGGCTTTCCCAGGAAAGCTGCCATGAATTTCTGCAACGAAACCCGCGGCCGCCCCAAAACTATCATCTTTTTTGAATAAGTCATCTTGTTGGAAAGTCATCGTTTAAGAGCAGAACAGAAGTATTTTCTTTCCTATGTTATCGGTGAAATGTTCAAGACAAATGAGCTTTTTGTGGATTCGGTCGATTTTATTTTTAGTGCGTGATACGTAATAACTTGTCACGACACCAAGGACAATGCGGGACTTATAGAGTTTATACCCGTTTCTAAAACAATCACAAAAAAAAACGTTTCTTTTCTTTTTTATACATTGTGTTTTACTGGAAAAACAATCTTAAGTTATGTTTTTGCCTCGCAGACACGGCGGTAAAAAGCCGGCTAAAATATTAAATTAGCATAGAAGAGCGACTCCTGTGTTTATTCAAAAAAAAAAATTATAATACTATTTGGAAAAGCGGTTAAAATCGAAAACTGTGCAGCTTGTCACGATCAAAGTCGATGATTATGTTACACGTAAATTCACGTGGAACGACCTTTGAATATCAGCGCGCGCCCGATTGAACAACATTTTCTTTTTTTTTTTACTGTAAATCAAGAAACCAACACCAGCCAGTCGCCCGCCGGGCGACCAAGAAAATATTTTCAGTCGCCCGAGGCCAAATGTTAGTCGCCTCAGGCGACCGGGCGCCGTTAGAGCACAGCCTTGAAGAAAGGTAATGAGAAGTGAAAAAAAAATTATTAACTACATGTACATAATATTGCCTGATTTAACAACAAATTCTCTTGTCATTCATTGTAAGAATTGTATCTATTAGTTAACACTGTGGAGAATTGTTCTTTGGAAAGTGAGCATGGATGGTGAAACACACTTACTTTCCTCTGGTAGCTTTTTCCCTTCCTTTGCAGAATCCAAAATCCATTGAACACTAACAACAAAAGCTTGAAAATCACAGTTTCTCAACAAATCAATATCTGCATTGATTCTATTTCCAACAACAACATGCGATACAATCTCATTGATCTGATTGAATCTTGTCCCTCCTCCAGAGTTGATGATCTTTCTAAGCTTCTCCAACTTATGCCCAGAAAATCCACTTAAATAAATTTTGCAACCATCCAGAAACATATTCCCAGGCTGAACTCTAACATCAAATTCAGAGCCATCTGGGTCAGAAATGTGAGTCTCTCCTATCTTGGAAACATTTTCCAAAGCCTTAGACTGATTAGATTGCATACTATTTCTTCCGGAACTAGGGATCAAATCTTTGTTACCATGTTTCTGTGCACTCTTGTATGCTGCTTGTGCAGCTTTATTTGATACCTTCATCTCTGTGCCACTTTTAGAAGTACTGCCTTTGATTAAGCTACCTGACAATCTTGCACCTGCTTGTGAACTGTTATTTTCTTTATCAGGTTGAGTGTAATAGCTTGACTCATCCAGACACAAGCCTGTCTGAACTGAGTCATAAAACCATTGTGTACAAACACAGTGAAGATTCCACCTTCTTGCATACTCATATTTTTCACCCCTTGGGTCATCAACTAGTAAATGGGTGCAAGTGTTCATATCAAGTGCTCCTGAGTACGTTCCACCATGTTGTGTCACAAGTTTCTTTATTTCTTTTCTTTTTTCTGCATCAATGCCTGTCACACAGAGAGTGATTCCTTTGAATGTTGGGCATTTGAATTCCATGAATTGTTCATCTGTGGCACACACATGTTCGTCCTGACTAAGCTCCCAGCATTTGTAAACCCACTGTGGTAATAAAATTGGTTTATTGAAACTACATGCAACCTTGTACTTCTTAGATCCCACCTCACCCGCAACCAGGTGAGTTACTGCGCTGGTGAAGTCTTTCATAACAATCCCTCCCATCAGCCGGATAAGATCGTAAAGCCTATCTCTCTCTTCCCGAGGAACACTAGTACAACTGATGGCAGTGCCTCGCATGGCTACACAATAAACTGGGTACTGGACATTTGGCAGCGGAGTCTCTGTTTGTAAACACGATAATATACACGGTGGACCGACGATCCTGCAATTTCTTTCCTTCAAGTACTCGAAACTTTGTCCTTCAAAATTCTCCAAAATGTACACCGATCGATGTGTCTCCAAATCAATATTTTCCAAATTGCTCGCGGAAATCCATTCGCTGTTCAAATCGTATTCCTTACTAGCTTCCGAAGCTCGTAATAGGTTTTCCTCCATCGACTCATTAACACTTATAAACCTAAGAGTATTTTCATCATCGCTCGCCATTTTCCTCTTTCCTGATCAGCACATGAAATCGACAACCTGTGATGTGTAGGCACTTTCCTCAAACCGCCATCTTGGATTTCATCGAATTCGTATAGCTCAGCGTTTACATTACAGAATAGTTAAACCTAGTTCATTTCTCTATTATTATACTGTTTTATGCAAGTTTGAAGCAAAATAAATCAATCGAAACCTTAAAGAACCTTTCAAAACGAAAATTTTAAAGGAAATTTTACGAAAATATCGTCAATTTTAAAGCAAAACATATTTTCTTTTGGCGGGAAAAGGTACGCATGCGCAATAAACTCGTAATGAGGTCACTCTATCCCATAACTCTTTGCTGCGGAAATGTTGTTTGCCTAGTCCTGCGTTTTAGAACTTCCGCTAGGGTTGAGATAGTGAACGTTAAAACATTGAAAGTAAAACCATTTACGTTTGAGGTTTGAGGTTTGGATCCCTATTTTTGGCCGTTAAGGTACGTCTACTTCCGCTGTATTATGAAAATATACTGATGATATTCCGGATACCCGTTAGTGAAACTTGGAGATCAATTATTTGGACTACCAAATATGCAGAAAGTAGCTGAACATCAAGAATCACATCGGATATACAGCAAAATTTGGAAGTTGCCAAAATAGGTGAGGTCGCTTTGAAACGAAATAAAAAAAGCTGCACCCAGATAATACAGTGCTTTAGAAGGAAACTAAAGTGGGAATAATATTCCTAATTACTGATTTTGCCAGTGCTGCAAGTTTAATTGACGTGTTGAAGAACGGGAGGAACAAAATTTCATAATTTCACAATTTCATAATGCGGGTATAATGAAGTTTATTTGATGTTTACAGTACACTCTTTCGCAATTGCTTCCTTCGTTATGATGAATGCAAACCGTAGTCTCGAATCCCGTTTAAACTATAAACTTAAAGATCTCTTGAAGACTTTCAAATCAAGGGTTTGATATTGGAACAGCAACCTTTTGATCAACAACATTTCCCTCTTACAGGCCCTCACGAAGTCCATAACGATAATGCACGTATATCTTAAAGATGGAAATCAAAGGCGTTGGGTTACCAATGTTCATCTTCAAGAGGGTTTTAGTCCCTGTATTGGCAATGGAGCCATGAAGAAATCGTGTGCAGATGTGTCGAGACTGGAGCCAGCAATTTGGTTCAAGGTTCTTTTACTAGAATCAGTATCTGTTGACTGTGGAAGAAGGATAGTCAGCTGGTCAACTGGAAGTCACCCTGAAGGTTAGTGGTCTTTTCTTTTTTAAGCAAGCTGTCAATAAGAGCCAGTAGCTGGCCATTTCACTAAATGTTTTGAGTTTGGGAGTTAAGAAGTTTGATTCGTTCATACATGTGTATTCTGTAGTATGTCTCGCGCAATTCTAATGATCTTTAATTCCTTTCTCATAGTATATCTGTCCATGATCAGTCATCATTCAGGGCTTGAAGTAGTGAGCAGCTATTAAACAATTTCCTGCCTAATAAACTGTTTGTTTGTTCACTCTGTCTTTCCCAGCCTTCTTCACCAGTCATATCAATCCACAGCTATCACTTACTATGGAAATAATAATGCTTTTCAAGACTTAGAAGTCAAAATAACCCAAAATTTGCATAAACAATTCTTTTAAAAATTTGCATTAATCACCACCACCTTCAGTGAACGTATGACTGATTTTGAGACTAAACAAAAAAACTTTTGGCATTATTCTATTTCTTTTTGTTTAGATGCAGACTTGCCTAGTCAAAGGACATGTTACATGGAAGGAGAGTGTTATGATTATGATGCAGACATAGACGAACTCTTCCACTTGGCTGCAAAAGTTATTTGCCCAGCTGGTCACGAAGAGGTACGTATTTGTCATGAAATATTGCAACTTCATGCAAACCCTGCTCGAAATTTTTATTGAAATGGCATTTGATGTTATCTTACTTCCAATTTTTATATATTAACAACTGCATTGTTAAGTGGAGGTTGGGTTCCTGTGACATCCAGGTGCTTCCACTATTGGCAGCCAGCTTCTACAGTAAATGGAGACTGCTCCCATGGCTGGCAAACCCTGGTAACCCAGCCATATCATGAGCCCCCATGTAGGAAAGAGAAACAGGCACCTGTCACACTGAGTAAACAGTGGCAACAGGGAGGGAAGTGGTGGGTGAAGCTGCTTGGACGATGAGCTGCCACCCAAAACAACACTGCAATTACAAAGCACATGCAAGAATGTCTCAAATGAAGAGCACAAAAAATTCTGATGAATTTACATATGCAAAAATCTTTGACTACTTTAGAGAACACTGATGCTCTTTCTTTTTAACTCCGTTAAATTGTATTCAATTCCATTTGTTTGGCCATTATTGTTTAGGCTATAAATTGGCTATAGCAGTCTTATTCCCACCAAGCACCTTTTTTCTTCAATTTTAAAAGACACTTGAGAAGAACAGATGAAAGATCTTAACAGTAACACCTCAGAAGGAAATTTTTTTCTTCAGTTCAGTTTTCTTTGCTTGTCACTCCCTTTTTTTTTTTTCTTTTTTTTTCAAGTTCTAAACTTAAGTTTTGGAAAAAAATTGTCTTGAAAAAGTTAACAATATTTTTGTGGTGGTTCATAGTTTTGTTTGGTTTCAAATGTTCTTTTCTAAGAGGTAACAGAGATTATCATTGATATTTTGTGGTTTCTTGTTAATCTATAGGATGGCTGGTGTGTTTTGGAGTGAGTTTGTTAATATGTTGTTTTGAGAATTATTCTGTTTATTAAGTAATTCTACCAACCCTCCTCATTGCTAGCATTTTTTTTTTAGGAAAAGACTTCTATTATTGACCTAACTGAAGTAAATTTTAATTTGCTCTCTTTGTCTATGATTATGTTAATAAACTTACAAGAAAGGAAACAAAAGTTAACTTTGTAGTTATGTAAATTAAGTCAAAACCAAGGGATGATTTGAATTGCAAAATAAACAACTATACCTAAAGATGATTTGTACCTACTGGTGTATCAAATATTGATATACAAAATCTTGATATATTGTTTATTTTTTGAAAAATTTAGATTCAAAGCTAACACACATGTTTACTTAGTAATAGTAATTCAGTATTTATCAGAATATTAATTTTTAGGTCTGTTATTGATTTTATTCCAGAACGGAGTCTCACAGCCCTCAGATGAAGATTATGAACAATGCCTTTTACGCATGCTTCACTGCTACATCCTACCTAAGATAACCTTACACAAGGATGACTTAGACAAAGTAATGAATGCCAGAGAAAAGCAAGCTCAAAGCATCCAGGAACTAGATAGGAAGGTCATTGATGAATGTAAAACCATCGATGCTTGTGAGCTACACATGGAAGATTTACGCACTCAGTTTCTACCTGACCTGGAGAAATTTATTCACCGCGGCTGGTGCTCTAAAGGGTTTCTTGAAGTACTCCTTGAGGACATTGGTAAAGAAGAACCAAGACTACGGAAACAGGTATGGTAATTGTGTGGTTTTAATTACTCAACCTTTAAATTATTTCTAACTACTGTGAATCCAGAAGAAAGATGTTGGGAGCATGGGCCCCAAAAAAAGTAGTACCAGGTGTTTTATTTTGAATCTGAACCTCCATGTGTTTTGCAGATTGACAAGGCTCAAGATCAAGTGCAACATGCTAAAACTGTGGCAGCACAGAAACCCTGTGCAGCATCTACTGAACAGCTTAAGGCAGCTAGAGAACAGAGAAATGGAGAACAAGAAAAGCTTGAAGCCCTGCTATTGACAAGAGAACTCATTGTTGCTGCTTCTTGTCAGGTATACTTTATGAGCTCATTTTTTCTCCTAATAATTATGATGAGCTGTATACTGTAACTCTCCAATTTTGGTCTACATGTAACTTGTCATCTGATGAAGTGCAAATTACAATTATTTAATTAGGAACTCAGCTCTTAGTATTAACATAGTCAATAGTACTCTGTACCTAGTAGTGCTCGGAACTTAGTAATAAATACTTCTTAGACTTGAAATTATTTTGTCATAACCCTGCTTGTTTTAGTGGCTCCCTGCATTCAATGAAAGTGGTATCAAGCAGATTCTATTTTAAGTGGATAGTCTTAACCAAATTCTTTTTTACTCCTGCACTAGGGATAACTCTGAATACCCTTAACAGGCAAATGTACTCTTTGTTACACGAAATCATTATAAAGCAAAATAGCTTCATAAAAAACAAGAATTTTGAATCTTACCTGCTTGTAATTACAGTCCAAGAGTACACTTTTAACTTACTTTCAACCGTAGTATTTAAAAATTGCTCTAAATGTGATAACAGCAATCTAGTGATATTCTGTCTATTTAATCAAAAATTCCAAATTAAATACAGTCTAATGACTTAGTGTAGTTTTTATTGATTGAATTACCATTTAGGGAACTTTTATTAATTTAATTACAGGCTGAAACTGGTGGAGGAGTTGTTGCTGGACATCACTTACTAAAGCAGTACTTGGAACAAAGGGAGACACTCACTAGTCTCAAACAAAGCCGCAACAGACTTCTAGAACAGAAGGTAAATGGCTTTAACAGTGGCATTGGGAAGCATTCCCTATGCACTGAGCTGTTGTGGAATTCTAAAACAGTAAACAGGGTCATCACAGACGACCTGTGTCCCACATATGTTTGCATCAACTTAACATGTGTCTGCAATGAAAGAACAAACATTTTGTGGGTTTTAATTTTTACATATTTTCCAGTCTCCCCAATCCTCTAAAGTGAGATCTCACAAGAAGACAGGAAAAAAATTAAGTAAAATATAGCAGTGCAAAAATCCCCTACCTTCGGTGAAATGAAAAACTTCTTATGTCAATCAAATCTTGATAAATGTTCTTTGTTAGTAGACTCACTTAAGATATAGAAAGTGATTTTCCATCATGATGTAGTTTCCCTTTCTTAGACTGTTAGTCGACAAGGAAGAAAATTTGGGAACACAAACGGTTTCTTTCCTGCTAATTGTTCTGCTGAGTAAACAGAAAAGATTCCATCCTTGCAATGCCCCTCTCCCTTACCACTCATTTGACCTTATCATGTGCATGATTGAGCAGACTGCACATGTCCCAGTCTTTTGATGATGAACAATCCTGGTGTTTGACTTTGTTTGTTTTTCCACTTTGTTTCCAAAGAATTGTGCTTTGAGTGTAAGAGAAATGTTGGATTCTGCCATGAAAGAGCTGATTGACAAAGGCTACACTGATGCAAATGATGCAAATGCTTTAGGATCTCGAGCGACAGATGGTAAGATATGGAAGCTTTGTAGCATACTCTCTGCTGACAACAGGTTTAAACATCATACACCACACTATTATGAACACTGCACTCTTACAGACATAAGTTATGTCAACATGTACATGTATGGAACCAAACCATTTGTATAAAAGCTCTGTGAATCATCCTATGTGTACTAAATGAAAAATGTAATCCAAATATAGCAACTAACCAAGGAAAGGGGGGCTGTCACATACAGAACTGTGTAGTACATTGATTAATTGCTCTCATTTCATTTTTTTCATGTGACATTGGTAGTCCTTGAAGGAGTTTGGAAGCCAGAATGGCAAAGACTGGGTGAAAGAATTGCTACTCTGGTGAACAATGAGGAGCATCCAGTTGGCAACCATTTTCAAAAGTTTTGCCGAAGGATCCAATCACTCTGTGAAGAGCTGCTTACCTCTGGAAGATTCAGCAGCTCTGAAGAATTTACCCCTTCATGTTCACCCTTTGGCAAGGCCTGTGCAATTCAGTATGAATCATATGGCATGGAAGATTTCATGACAGATAATCATAGGCTCAAACTCCAAATGTTACAATCTGAAATTTTGAAAGGGTTGGAAACTGCAACAGAATTCTTGTCTGACATCTTTAACAACAAGGATGTGCATTTTAAAAACAAAATAAGGCTTTGCTACGAGCAGTGTTTTTATGAGAAAGAGCACCACTTTTTGGCTTGCGTCTATGAACTGGCTCATCATGAACATGTGGACAAGCTGCAAGGGGATGTACAAAGGCTCAGATGCCTCCCAATAAAGTTTTTGAATTTGCCAATGAAAGATGAGTGGTGGTTGGAGCTATTTGAGCAACGATCACTCCAGGCAAGTACAAACTCGGGACATTATCGTCCATTCACAGAAGCATATATGAATGGCACATTATTAGACCAGGCAGACCATGGTTTAAGTGGTTCTTATGACATGATTGATGAATTAGACGACTTAGTAAACAACACTACAGACACTCAAAATGGCAGGCACATAGAAGACATGGAATCATTCAGAAGCTTGTTCATCAGTGCTATTCGTAATCGCTCAAAAACCGTGGCTGTAGATGATCTTGAAAAACCTCTTGACCAGCCCAACACAAATCCTCCCAAGTCAAGGAATTCTTTTGAGGGTGCTTTAAGCTGTAGTGCGCCCACAATGGTTCAAATCATTGATTTATGGAAGACAGCTAAGTGTGAACAAAGTTATGACAGTGTTGATGGAAGCCTGGAGATGAAGCCTTGTTTAAACAGGACACTTTCTAAAAGTGAAAGTAATCTAAGCAGGAAGGACAGCTCAGTTTCTGGAGAAACTTTTGAGGACCACTTTGGTCCTGCACTTCAAAATATCAAAGACATTTTCAAGGTCACAAGTCCTTTAAACAAACTGAAATGCCTGACATCATCCCTCCGTAAAATAACAAATGCTGTTCAAGAGCTGCGGATGCAGAGTGGACAAGATACCTTCACTGCAGCTGTAAATGCAGAGGATCTTTTGCCTCTGCTGGTCCTGATGATGCTCCAAATGGAACCTTGGGAGGTTGCTGCCATGTGGCCCCAACTGGTATTCACAGAGAACCTAATGGCACCCTTTTTGTCATCAGGATGTCATGGCTGGGCCCTGGTTGAATTTCAGATGGCCCAAAGGGTTTTAAATGATCTTTGTAATGAATTCTAAAGATTGCTTTTTGAAGGGATATGAGGAAATGAAAAAGGTCTAGATAACTTTTGATACACATTTACTTCTCCCTTTGTTTTCAAAGAAATACATGGTAGGAGAGAATTTGAAAGGAGAATGGGACATTCTATCAGAAGTCACACAAGGCTTTTTTCCATGCACCCCTACATTTTAAAGTATTTTGAATAATCAACTGATACTAACCAAGTATTTACTCCCCCTATCTGATTTCTAATTCTCCCTTCCAGTAAATATATATTTTGTTGTTAATTATTTGATGGGTAAGTGCTTATTTTCATAACTTGTCTTTGAAAGTAATTACTATTAAGAGGTGAAGGTTTTTTCTACATCATTATAAAAGTGAATAAATTATGACAGCAATCATTGCTTATGATTATTTATTACTAATTTTGCATCTGTTCCTAACCCTAGGATAATCATGACCATGCATCGTGATTTGTCTTTTTAATGTGACAGAGATGTCTTTTGTTTCATGGAAACAATTTTAATCAGATTCATTGGTATTTTCAATGATTGTAAACACTATTAGCTTACCTCTTGATGTTAGTGGTAATGTTATGTACATAGAAACTCCAGAGTTACAGACAGTAGGAAACATGTAATTTAAGGCATTACTAAACGTTCATGTACATGCAGAGTAATGTGACATGTATTAGGAAGTTTCTTTCTTAATACTCTCAGATCCAAACTATTTTCATAAATCCCTAAAACTTTGTAGAATGGTTATTCTTTAACCCTTTCCACCCTAACATCAGTAATGTATCCATATTCTCTGAACGCTTCTTTATTCAATTCCTTTGAGAAGGAATATGGGAGAATTTGTTTAACAATCAAAACTTCTGTTAGGTTGGCAATCATTTATGTCATTCTCATGATTGTAATGAATGATTCAGCAGTATTACTGTAAGGAGGAATAACATGCTGGTCACTCAAAGGGATTAAAGGGTTAAGTTTCATCTTGTACTACAGGGTCTGGTTTTTTTTTTTTTTTTCAGGAGTTATAGTGCCCTAGTTTTCTTTGATGTAATGATAGCTGTCACATTTTGTGATGGATACATCTGTATTCACTTTATGCTGAAAATATGACGATCTTTATTATTAAGTTTTCATATATGTCTAATAATTTAGATTGGATTATCCTGGCTATATTTGTCAGCTGATACTTATGCAAGTGTCCAATTATGCCAAATTTGAACTTGTATTTTTGATATCTCAAATTAGACACTTTTGTCAACTGCATGTCAATCAGGTGTACTTACTTCAGTGGATTGATTTTTTTCTCTTCCCCTTCTTCTGATAAAGCACTAAGGAAGGAGCTGATGTCATTAATAGTCCCCTTTTATGATTATCTAATGAAATTTGGTAATAACACACCCCTAGCCAAGTTTACGCTATTTTTGGAAAACCTTGGCAATCTAGTTGTTTTCACATGGTTTATCTTTAGCCCACACCTTAAAAAGGAGGCCTGGGGTCGAAATTAACTTCTCTGATGTAAATTTGTAGAAGGGCTATCAGAAACGGTAGCTCTTATGTGTCATTCAGTTCTGGATAACTGTCTCAGATTTCAAATCAACTTTTGAGTTGCAAATTCCAATGACTTTGATCTTCCAGGCCTGATTTTCTCCAGTTTTAATCCACTAAGTCTAATTTAGTATTGTAATTCATAATATTGATATATAAGTTTTTGAGTTTGTATGGTGCACCATTAAAATGGCTTTATTTGGACAACTAAGATAGGTCTTAAGAGAGCTAAGACAGCTCCACCATTGGAGACACTGGTTTCAATGTTTGACCATACCCTTATTTTACGAAACAAATGGTAGAATTTACTGATTTATGAAGGAAAATATTTTATGGTGCAATAAAATAGTTTAGATCAGTAGCAAATGATGCCTGACTTTTTAAGGTGAATATAGATTGAATACATCTCAACTTTTTTTTTTTAAGTACCTACAATACATGCAATTAGAAAGAGTAATCATTACTTTTAGCACAGCGCTTCAAGTTTTATTAGGATATGTATGTTTGTAACCTAAAATTAAATTTGATAACCTTTATTGAACCATTTTAGGGTTAATGGGTTTAAGTTTCAAAGCTCCATGTGGTGTGGAACAAAGTTACCTGCATATTGGCTCAATGGAATAGTTCTACTCTGCACACTTGTAGAATGAAATTTTTTGTTTAAGATATAAATTAAATATTGATTTATGTATGATCATCTTAAAGAGAAGACACTTGTTTTTTGTCACTGTTATTCTTACTCCTGATGTGGAAAGCAAGTTTTTTTAAATTTGAAACCATGCACTTTTAAACAGTGCCAGTGTGAATTTACTATTCATAGCCAAGGGATGGATAGACCACTTCATTTATGTTAAAAATGTACACAGTGTTCCTTTTAAGCAGCAATCTCATTGGTAAATATATATAATTATGTATTTATCCCACATCTGTTGGGGTGGCATTCCCCTGTGATTTTTATATAGGAAGAATTAATTTCATAAAACAGTATAGATCTTTATAACATATATTTTTAATGATGAATATTTACTGCTAGGGATAATAATAATCTACATGTCAAGTAATACAATAAACGTTTATAATAAATTTTTTCTCAAAGAAGTACCAGGCACTTATTTAAATGATTAAATTTAGGTGAAAGGGAAGGGTGCTTATTGGAAGGAGGGCACTTAATTGGGGGGGGTTTATCAAGAGAGTGTGGCAATAGGACAAAAATTAAAAGAATAGATGTCACATAAAGGAACTGTGCAAGCACATGGAAATAGAAATAACTGGAACAGGAAAGAAACCATTCCATTCTGATGTCACTGTAGTTCAAGCTTAAAAAGTTGTAAATAAAGTGATTGTGGCAATAGAAACAGGTTTTCCTTGTGTCCCTACTATGTCAGAAAGTGAGGGAGGAAGCAGGTGCTTATTGACAGAGGGGGTGTAAAAGAGAATTGTCACATATGATGAAATACAGAAGTTTTCACCAGGCACTGATTGTTCAATACCAGTAAAGATTTAGTATTACAAAAAGACATTATTTTAGAAACTGCCCAACCAACCATTATCATGTAGGAGTCTGTTACATTTGACCATTTGATTTTGATCTTACACAGACTTCCCTCAAATTATCTATACAAGATAAGATGAAAGTAGGAGACACCAACATAAACTTCATGACAAATATAAATAAAAAATTCATTTATTGTGCTCTAACAGAAATAGTTATGGTTTACAAGCAACATTAAATCTACCTGTTCATATATAAATGTAATTCCATTTTATTATTATAATATTATTGCTCTTTGAACTTCTAGCACTGAAAGTTACTTTTATTAATTTCTGTTTTTGGCTGAAGGAGAAGTGATGTTTTATTCATTTATTCATCACAGCTCTGGGCATAATGAAATTCAATTTTTTTCTTCATGTTTAAGATTTGCTTAAAATTGACTATTTCAAAGTTCTTCTCCCCATTTAGTTGTACCAGTCGAGAAACAGCAGTGACAATGAACACATAACCAGAAAGAAAAGTATCCAAACTCTGAAGCTGGCATTATTTTTGATAGCCTGCAAATGAAAAGGGTTTCCTTACATCAAATGTACTACTAAAATTAATGTTTATGTGCAAAGCACATCTTAATTTAGCAATGGTAGGTAATAGCACCTGGAGTGGCATGGGTTTAAATCTTGTCAAATATTTTTTCCTGAGATTTCTTTAATTGCAGTTCACCTGTGAGAATTGTATCTCTGCTTACGATTTCTAATAGTCAGATGCAGGGGTATTGAAAACTTCTTCCATAAACATCTGCCAGTGGTGTGATAGGTCACTGGCCTGGAAAAGGGGCTGTGAGATGAAACCTATGCACCTGACCCTGCTTGCAGCCTAAACAGATGGCAGAAAGAGGTCTCATAGGAGGCAGTAGACTGCCAGTAACCAGCTTTTATTGAAACCTCTTCCAATGATGATGTTACATTGTACCTCTCTTATCTGTTCATTTCCTCCCTTGACATTTTCTGTTGTTCCTGCAGCAGTCTCATGTATTCTGTCAATCTGTGCAGACTGTATAAACAGAAGATACTGATTGATGGATTCTTTTCAGTAAAACAAGTCTAAAAAGTCTTGCAAACTTAATGATCAGGTTTGGGGCCTGCCTGAAATCTTTAACTATCTAGTGACATAAGTGTTTCAAATGGCTTTCTCACCTGGTGTAAAACCTTTTCAGAGAAAATTTCTTGGAGCTGAGATATTTCTACTACTTTTCCTTCAATTTGCCTATAACAAAAACATACAAGTTTAATGATAGAAATAAAAAGCAGACGTTGTACAAGGAATACCCAATGGTTGAGAGAATCAAGTCTCTGAGTTTCACAGTAACCCTAAGACTGATTTAAATGAACTTTTATCACCATACCTCACTTCGTTCACCAAACTGTTCATTTCTGTAAACAACCTCTGGTTTTCCATTTCAAACTTAAACAAACAAACAAAGAGAACATTATGAAACAATTATTATTAGTTTGATGCTTTAAAAGTAATAGTTGGGAACTTTGCCTGTGGTCAGTTACTTATCACACATGGCAACTTGTAACATTATCATATGAAATTCAGTTGTTCTTTTCATACCATCTGGACTTCCTCTGCTGTCAATTCTTCATCCTCCCCTGGAGGAGGAGGAGGAGCCAAATCTAGAGGTTGTGTTGGACTTTTGGATTCTGCTGGAAGCACAGAAAAACAAATCCCGATGTAAAATTACTGATTATCTTAGATTCACTAGAAGAACATTTCCAGTGTAAAACGATTATTTTTATTAATATAATTTATGCTAAATTAATGGATCCCTTCTGCCATTTAGGAGAGCTGCTCTTTTCTGATAACTGAACAGTGAGATGTTTGTCACCCAACTTCACAGGGTTTGTACCCTTTTTCAGAATTTCAAGGACTTTTCCGGGACTCAGACCAATTTTTCCAGGGCTCTAAATTTCACCTTAAACCCTTTCATTTGCAAGATTTTGAAATCAATACTCCTTACCATCTACATACATTTCTTGTAACATAAATTCTGAAAATTTTATCGCAATTGTAAAGCAAATTTCCAAGACTTTCCAGGACCTGTAGTCTTTTTCTTCTTTTTTTTAATTTGAAAGTCCTGGAAAATGTCAAAATAAAATTCCAGGACTTTCCAGGGTTTCCAGGACCTGTATGAACCTGTCTGAACCCTTCCTTCAGAAACTTTCCCTGTCTTTCAGTATACCATGTGCAGTCATTCATAAGAACCACATCCTCCACTGATAAAAAGCTTTACTGATAATAATCATTTATAAAAAGTTTCTCATTAGATGACACTTCATTCATATCACAAAAATACTCCAATTCCATCCCTCAATTCTACTGACAATTGTTCATATGCATTTTTTCAATAGATAAATTCATCTCTATTTCTTAATTTTTATTTCAATATTTACAAACTGCAGCTGAAATAGTAATGAACCAGAGAAAAGTAACATTTATTAAGAGGCAAGCATACTGTAGTTATTCACTGAAATTAAATTTTTCCCATAACCAACCTTTTGAAACATCATCTTTGACTTCTGAAGCAGATGATTTAGAATCAAGCTGTCCATTTGACTCTTGTTTCAATCTTTTTTGTTCAGGTTGCAGTCTGGATCTTATTTTGAATAAAAAGAAATCAAAGAAAATTGATAATGACATGAAGTTCAAATTTGTTTGTAGTCAAAAGTGGTGTATATCTGGTTTTAATTCTCAAACTACAAATTAAAAGCAAAAATCTGAAAAGTGCATATTCATCATACAGCACATGCAAATTTAACAGTTATTCATCAAAGTGGAAGTGAATAACTATTTTAGAATATAACAAACAGAAACCAAAAAATTAATTTATTTCTGTCCATATACCAAATGAAAGTCTGAAATTAAATTGTTGATCCTCAATTTTGTGTCTTCTGCTGCTTGTAGGTGAATAATACTAACTTGCTAATCACTTTTGAACCAGCCAATCACCATGCACAAAAAGCATTATCCACAAGTGTGGCATATATACTAATTATAATTAAATAAATTAATTAAATCAAGTTGTTACATGTACCTTGTAACTCTTCAACCTACACATCACTAGACTTATAAATATGGATTAATTTGAAACAAATTCTTTTTATCTCTAAGTTATCATTACTGAGGCTCTGAAGTGCCCATTTTTCTAAGGACTCTACAAGTCAGAGTATGGTTATTGGTCTTACATTCGTTTCTTTTCCACTACTCTCCTGACACGGATAGCTCTTTGTTCACTGTACAACTTGCAAACCACTAACAGAAGAAGTTAGAGAGTTTTTACCACATGTGACAGACAATTCCCCTCAAAAATAACACCACATTAAAAAGAGTAACTACAGTAAAAAAGTCCTAAAGAATGGACATACAGAAAGGTATCCCAAATGGACAAGCCCCAGATATAATAACATTCTGGATTTGGCAAATGGTGCCAGAAAAATCATGGATCACACCCTTTTCAATCTCAAAGTATTTTTTTCCTTTCAAAGTTTCCAAACTCTGGGAGTTTTTCTGATAATTGGTCCCAAGGAGGCAAGCAAGAGTGACTTAGAGTTATCTTTGTGAGTGACAAATGGCTTTATTTGATCGCTGTTATTTGAAAGTATCGCAATGAAGAAACTGATTCACAAAAGTGAGTATTGCAACTCTAACCCAACAATTTAGTGAGATCAATTGTAGTATCTAGGTAAGATCTAGGTAAAGCAACAGTATTAGCTAGGATATGCATGACTAGGGTAATTTGGTCTCACTTGAATTTTCAAAAAAGAGGCTTGTTGTCTTCCAAAGTCTCTAATTTTAGTGTTCACTACCCCTCAAATTGAGTGCTATTATAGAAAAATCTAGTTGCAAGTATGAACCATAATACTTTAGGGGAACAGCCTCAATTAAAACTCATTTCACCAGTTCCTTTTTTCTGCAGAACTAATATTTGAATAGTGTCTTCCACTTTCAATAGAAATTAATTGAATTAGTGGATAATCCTACACTGTGTTGGTATTGATCATTTATAATCTAGCATATAGTGCACCTTTTAAATACTGTCCTAGCATTTCCAGTACAACTTCCCTGTGAGTCATAACTTGTTCACTTCTTTTCTGCTGCAATGCTGTAAAGAGTATTTGAGAAGAATTGTCCAGGTAAAAAATTATAATCTAGTTTGCTTTGCAATATTTCAAAATTTCAAGGACTAAGGTTCAATCTGATTAATTTCTCATCATCATCTTTTTTGTAAACACTTGTTAAATTAACAAAATTATTTTACATTACATAGCTAAGCACCTGGCCAATTTGAAATTTGAGACTTACATTGCTTGAATGTGTAGTACAGAATATGACAGAGAGGATTTAGACAAGGAACACTGTAAATATATTTAATGGTGATTTGTATGCACATAGCAGTTTAATATTAATTTCAGGTCAAAATAAATCTAAACCAATTTAATTTGTAGTTGTTTCGTTCCAGGTAAAATTGCTAGAGAATTAGAGCAAGGTAACTTACGAAAGAATCAAGCTTAAGTGTGATATCATTTTAACCCTACATCATTTTTAATGAAACAAAGTCATCTCTGACAAATATATCTAGTGTAAATTGTACAGTGAATGTTAGTGCTAATTACATGTGGATTTTTCCTGAAATGTTGATAATAATGACACTGTTTTTACATACTTTCAGTTTGATGTTTGCCATGGTTACACTAAGCTGTATCAATACCTTCATTTTTGAGGGTTTGTATAGCAACTGAGCATGTTCTCATGTAAGTTTCAGCATCTGTGTCTATTTGGTCTCGCTCTTCATCTGTCATACTAGACAACTCTAAACTCAGGTGACTGTACCAATAAAAATAAAAGTATTTGATTGACTTAGAACTTGCATTACTCTGTAAATCTCCTGCAAAATTACTACTGAGTAAATCAAGAAAATCAATATAATTATATTTAATATCAACCCCCAAGATTTGGCTTTTATGATTAACATATTATAAATCATCAAATTTCTACTGTCCCCCAAATAAGCACCCACTTTGAATAAGCAACCCTCAAATGTGCATAACTTCTTTTAAAACCCAAATACTGCCCTTCTTGAAATAAAACGCTCCCCCTCAATGTGGTGACCACCATGAATAAGCAATCACTTATCAACTCAGACAAATATAATCATGAAATAATTCACCAACTGTTACTAATATTGCAGTTTGAGTGGGAACTCTGTTTACCTGAATGGACTGACATAATCCTTTTGGTGTTTTAGTAGGAAATCTCTCAGCTTACTAATATTGACAAGCTGTTGTGAAAGAAAGCAGCCCCAATTAAAATAAACACTTATCAATCATATCATTTTGCTGAATAAAAACTAAAAAAACCTAATAAAAGTAGGGTAAGCAAGATCTGATGTGAACATGTTTTTTCAAGTCTTGGGCATCACTTTTTGAGTAATATGGAATATCAAATTAAGCAGTGTGTGATATTGTGAATTGTCAAAACTAATGTCTGAGTTATCTGCCACTGAGCCAAAGCTCAGGCAAATAACACAGACACAAGGTTTGATAATTCAAGATATCATGCAAAAACCTATACCATGCACAATAAACTTATTGCTTTATCATACATTTTTTAAAAGCATTTGGTCATTTTGAGTTAATCTGACTCTGAGAACAGCAAGGGTTTGAGAACACTTTGAAGGACTTTGAAACTATGTTAACTTTGAACTCATTATGATAAATGCAATATCTCCTGCAGACAATGCATTTGTCATGTCATCTTCTCACACTATTGTATATTGATTGAATATTCTTGACAATCAGATTTTTTATAGTACATGTAATATATAATAAAACCAGTTAGACAACTGACAGGTGAAGATAATTATAACAATGAACCAACATCAAGTTACAAGATTTCCGAACAGCCCCATGCTACTGTAAAACAAAGCTGTAGTCTTACAAGGCAAATTATTGTTTTCTTTCGCCATTGTTTATCCATGCAAGAACTGTATACAAAATCAAGTATTGGGGGTGTGCGGAAATCTTCCCACGAAAGTCTGTACAATATGTTGTCTGTCAAAATAAATCAGTCTTGAATATGAAAGCACACCTTACTGAACCTTGCTCGTTAGAATCTGTTTCATGCTGAAAATGGTACATAAAGAGTACAGTTAAATAGATGGGTTGTACTCTTACCACTTCTTTCGCTTTCGTTCCAAATTCACCCTTGTGTCTTTTCGAGCCCAAAATGTCCTTTGTTGCCTCTTTGACACCAAGGGCTTTATTTCTGGTCCGTATAGTTTTCACAGTGGCTTTGAAAAGGGCCGTTCTGTCCATAATTCCAAAACTTTCCACTACGATCAACAGAAATCTCCAAATTAGAAAATCGACAAGGCGTCTGCTTAGTGGCCTCGCCTTTGTTCTTTCAGAGCCTTGCACCACCCGGGTGGTGCTGGGATATTGCTCTCAAAACAAACATGGCGGAAAGAGTACGACCCTTCGCTACAGCATTCTTCGTCGTGTCCTTTCTTGTAAGTAAAACCATCGGTGAAGATGAAGGCGAGAAGTATAACCCGAATGGTCCGCTTGTGAACTGCAGTTACTTGTAAGTCACTTTGTCGATTGAACACTAAGTTACCTGAAGGTGAACTTCCGCTTGTAAACTAGCTTGCATGTAGCTACACATATTTCGTTTTCATTCTTATAATGGTCTGGGCCGGTTGTTCGAAGCTGGGTTAGACAGAGAAAACAATGACAAAAACAATACATTGCCATTAGGAAAACAGATTTGTTTTACAATAGTATGGGGCTATGCGGAAATTTTACCTAAACTTGGGCTAGCAGGAAATTTGGTCAGAGATCTGAAAACTTTGAAAGAAAATTTGCCTGGAAAAAAGTAAATTCGCCAGGTCTCTCTGGTGATAGCATTTGACCAAATTATACCGGCTGTTTAATCATCCATGTGGTTATCGTTGCAATAAGGATTATCTGTAAGATGCGAAATGATATTTTGGTATTGTTTAGTACAGTCACCGTTATGCAACTTGATATATTCATAAGGAGCATTTTGATCAAGGAGGACTATCACAGAACATTTTGTACTGGGAACATTGAGTTGGTAGGCTGTGTGGCTGACACTTTTGCGTTAACTCAGCAAGTGGAAGTCCGAGTGATGCTGGTCATTTGAAGTGACAGTGTTTTTGTAGTTGAAATGAATGTATCATTGAGATGAGGGTGTGATTTTCTATGGTGAACTAGATTGTTTTGCTTATTTATGTTATAGTATGAGTACAATGCTATTGTTATCAGTGATAAATTAGTACATAATACTTTTCTTTCCAGACCTATAGACTTTCTTGAATGTGATCCACCACATGATTTTACATCAAATAAAACTGCACAAGAGGAGTCAGGCTATGGATGTTCTAAAGTAAGAGCACATGTTGTGTTTAAAATATTTTTCCTCCATTTAATATGACTTAATTTTATTTTATGATCACAATGAATATGATGACCCAGAAAATTGAAGAAAAATTTGAACTGCTAAAGATACAAGCATAGCTAATAGAAGTTAGTTCCTGTGAAGTCAGACATTCATTCCTCCATAGCACGCCCTCAACCATTAAAAAATCAGAACCCCATGAAAAGGTTTTCCACTAATTTGTAAGAGTAATCAGCTCCTAAGTTCTCCTTGCAAAATCCACCCCTGAATGAAACATCAAAGGGGCAAGGTCACCCTGTGAGCTTGAGCACTGAGTTCTTTTTAAGTTTGATACTTAAGAAAATTTAATGTAATGTTCCATAAAATTGATGGACTTTTTACCTTGCTAAAGGGGAAAATGAGGCAGATGGGAAAAACATTATTTGTAGGAACTCACAGCCAAATTGAATGTATTCTTGAATTAGTAGAGATTTGCAAACGAAGAATGCTTTCTTCTCAGCATAATTAATTTTGTTCTTAAAATATGTTCTTCTGACTCCTTTTGCTTCATGCGAGAAAAACCTGCTCAATCAGACATCTGAAATTCTCCTTCATTCATTCATGCCTCTATAAATAGATGAACATTTAGATACATAAAAACTGTTCAATCAATGTAACAGTAAAATGTTGGCCACTAGTTTCTACACTCTGTATGTGCAAAGCATGAGTCGTGACCTACCTCTTTAAGGTCATGAGAATGAAGGAAGTGAATGTCAACAAAAGAAGCTCTTTTTGTTAAACAAATTCTCCTTGTCAGTATGAGAGAGAAGTATGAAGAAAATACACATAGGTTTTGGGTGTAGACATTAATTCTTGTGAGCTCAGTGGCTCTTTATTGCTGGATCATATCCCAATTTTTGTGATATAGAGCCTCAAATAGTTTGCCTTCTCCTCCTGGATAGGAGACTAGTCTAGTTCAGGTGACCTCAGGGATTTTGTTAAGAATCTGGGACTATATGTTGTTAACCATTTTAACTTGGGTGCAGAGAGGGGCCCAGTGTAGGGTTCATTAAAGAGAATAATTAAAACAGCAGACTGACTAGCAAGGGCTTGGACGGTGGCCTTCCCTTTCTGGAGTTAAGTATATCAACTGATAGGCCATTGCATCTTCCTTCGCAAAAAATGATGAAATAATTTTAATAAACCATTTCCCCAGTGGACCCCTTCAGGACCAAGAAGACAGAGAATGAAACAAAATATTTATGTTTGTTGTAATCAAAACATAGGTTAAGTAACCTCTTTACATAGAAAACCCTTGGAGCTAAATAAAGCTCAATAAAAAATCTAATGAGTAGCAGGGTGGAAGGCTGAAACCTTGAACCACCCAGGAAAGAGTTTAGCACCTTAACCCTTCAACCTTTAAGAGTGACTAACATCTAATTTCTCATTACAATTTCACCCCTGAATCACACATTAAGGACACAAGAATAAAGGAAATGATCACCAACTACTGAAGCTCTGGATTGTTAACCAAATTCTCCTTATCAGCAGCTCAGGAAATGTTTAGAAAACAGTATATTTAATACATGTAATGTGTACTACTAAAAGTAAATACACATTTCAATCGCTTGTGTAACATTTTGCTTTGTGATAATTTATTTATAGTTTGGCGGTTCAAAGTATGAAGACGTTCAACACACACGGGTATGGTGTGAAGTTTTATCTGGAATTGAGTGCTTTGGAGAAAGAAAATTTCTCAGCTTAGAAAAATTTCCCTGTATCAAGTAAGTTAATTTTGAGTTATTATCAAGATGGAACAACTTTCAGGGGTGTTGCTGAGTTTTCTCCAACGTACGTGTAGATCGTGATCATTTATTGTTCAGCGTCCTGAAATTGCTAGTAAGAGTTACATATCCATTGTTTCTTATGGACTGTTTCTCCTCCAAACCAGGCTTTTTCCTTCAAATATGTCTTTTTTCAGTCACTTCTTTATTTACTCATTCATTCAGTCATTGAGAACCACTCATATTCGAGCATATTTTATTGATACAATTACAAACATAACTAGCAAAAGACAAAGCAAATAGGGCACCAGATATTAACACGTAACAAATAGATCACTGAAGACAGAGTCCGAGATATTACACGTAACAAAAAAAACACAAGACAAGCAGCACGCGAGATCCTGCAAGTAACAAATAGAAACCAACACAGAGATTTAAAGCGCGTAAGATTTAAAACCTAAAGGTTTGGTTCCAAAACAAACAGTGCGTGAGATACTTCTCGTAACAAATGAAACACAGAACGAACAAACCACAAGATTTTACACGTAAAAACAAAGTTAGAATACAGAACAAACAGTATCTGAAGTCATTCTATTAACATACAGAACACAGAACAAACAGTCTGCGAGACACTACAACTAAAAAAAAAAAAAGAGAGAAAAAACAGTGCGCGGGATACTACATGTAACAAAAAGAAAAGCGACCAAACGGCGCGCGAGAAACTACAGATAACAAAGAGAAAAGAGAACAAACAGTGCACGTGATACAACAGGTAACAAATAGAAAAGATAACAAACATTGCACGGGATACTACACGTAACAAATAGTAAAAAGAGAACAAACGGTGCGCGGGATACAACAGGTAACAAATAGAAAAGAGAACAAACAGTGCGCGAGATACTACACGTAACAAATAGTAAAAAGAGAACAAACGGTGCGCGGGATACAACAGGTAACAAATAGAAAAGAGAACAAACAGTGCGCGAGATACTACACGTAACAAATAGTAAAAAGAGAACAAATGGTGCGCGGGATACTACACGTAACAAATAGAAAAGAGAACAAACAGTGCGCGTGATACTACACGTAACAAATAGTAAAAAGAGAACAAACAGTGCGCGGGATACAACAGGTAACAAATAGAAAAGAGAACAAACAGTGCGCGAGATACTACACGTAACAAATAGTAAAAAGAGAACAAATAGTGCGCGGGATACTACACGTAGCAAATAGGAAAGAGAACAAACAGTGTGCCTGATACTACAGGTTACAAATAGAAAAGAGAAAAAACAGTGTGCGGGATACTGCACGTAACAAATAGAAAAAAAAAACAGTGTGCCTGATACTACAGGTTACAAATAGAAAAGAGAAAAAACAGTGTGCGGGATACTACACGTAACAAATAGAAAAGACAACAAACAGTGCGCGAGATAGTACACGTAACAAATACAAAAGAGAACAAACAGTGCGCGTGATACTACACGTAACAAATAGAAAAGAGAACAAACAGTGCGCGAGATACTACACGTAACAAATAGAAAAGAGAACAAACAGTGCGCGTGATACTACACGTAACAAATAGAAAAGAGAACAAACAGTGCGCGTGATACTACACGTAACAAATAGAAAAGAGAACAAACAGTGCGCGGGATACTACACGTAACAAATAGAAAAGAGAACAAACAGTGCTCGAGATACTAAACGTAACAAATAGAAAAGAGAACAAACAGTGCGCGAGATACTACACGTAACAAATAGTAAAAAGAGAACAAATAGTGCGCGGGATACTACACGTAACAAATAGAAAAGACAACAAACAGTGTGCGTGATACTACAAGTAACAAATAGAAAAGACAACAAACAGTGTGCGTGATGGTAACAAATAGAAAAGACAACAAACAGTGTGCGTGATACTACACAACAAATAGAAAAGAGAACAAACAGTGCGCGAGATACTACACGTAACAAATAGAAAAGACAACAAACAGTGTGCGTGATACTACAGGTAACAAATAGAAAAGAGAACAAACAGTGTGCGTGATACTACAAGTAACAAATAGAAAAGAGAACAAACAGTGCGCGTGATACTACAAGTAACAAATAGAAAAGACAACAAACAGTGCGCGTGATACTACAAGTAACAAATAGAAAAGACAACAAACAGTGCGCGTGATACTACAGGTAACAAATAGAAAAGAGAACAAACAGTGCGCGTGATACTACAGGTTACAAATAGAAAAGACAACAAACAGTGCGCGGGATACTACAGGTTACAAATAGAAAAGAGAACAAACAGTGTGCGTGATACTACACGTAACAAATAGAAAAGAGAACAAAGAGTGCGCGGGATACTACAGGTTACAAATAGAAAAGACAACAAACAGTGCGCGGGATACTACAGGTAACAAATAGAAATGAGAACAAACAGTGCGCGGAATACTACAGGTTACAAATAGAAAAGAGAACAAACAGTGCGTGAGATACTACACGTAACAAATAGAAAAGAGAACAAACAGTGCGTGTGATACTACAGGTTACAAATAGAAAAGAGAACAAACAGTGCGCGTGATACTACAGGTTACAAATAGAAAAGAGAACAAACAGTGCGCGTGATACTACAGGTTACAAATAGAAAAGAGAACAAACAGTGCGCGTGATACTACAGGTTACAAATAGAAAAGAGAACAAACAGTGCGCGTGATACTACAGGTTACAAATAGAAAAGACAACAAACAGTGCGCGTGATACTACAGGTTACAAATAGAAAAGAGAACAAACAGTGTGCGTGATACTACACGTAACAAATAGAAATGAGAACAAACAGTGCGCGTGATACTACAGGTTACAAACAGAAAAGACAACAAACAGTGCGCTTGATACTACACGTAACAAATAGAAAAGAGAACAAACAGTGCGCGGGATACTACAGGTTACAAATAGAAAAGAGAACAAACAGTGCGTGTGATACTACAGGTAACAAATAGAAAAGAGAACAAACAGTGCGTGTGATACTACAGGTAACAAATAGAAAAGAGAACAAACAGTGCGTGTGATACTACAGGTTACAAATAGAAAAGAGAACAAACAGTGCGTGTGATACTACAAGTTACAAATAGAAAAAGAGAACAAACAGTGCGTGTGATACTACAGGTAACAAATAGAAAAGAGAACAAACAGTGCGCGAGATACTACACGTAACAAATAGAAAAGAGAACAAACAGTGCGCGGGATACTACAGGTAACAAATAGAAAAAACAACAAACAGTGCGCGGGATACTACTGGTAACAAATAGAAAAGAAAAAAACAGTGCGCGTGATACTACTGGTAACGATTAGAAAAGACAAAAAACAGTGCGCGGGATACTACTAGTAACGATTAGAAAAGAAAAAAACAGTGCGCGGGATACTACACGTAACAAATAGAAAAGAGAACAAACAGTGCGCGTGATACTACAGGTAACAAATAGAAAAGAGAACAAACAGTGCGCGGGATACTACAGGTTACAAATAGAAAAGAGAACAAACAGTGCGCGGGATACTACTGGTAACGATTAGAAAAGACAACAAACAGTGCGCGGGATACTACTGGTAACGATTAGAAAAGAGAAAAAACAGTGCGTGAGATACTACACGTAACAAATAGAAAAGAGAACAAGCAGTGCGCGGGATACTACACGTAACAAATAGAAAAGAGAACAAACAATGCGCTTGATACAACACGTAACAAATAGAAAAGACAACAAACAGTGCGCGAGATACTACACGTAACAAATAGAAAAGAGAACAAACAGTGTGCGTGATACTACAGGTTACAAATAGAAAAGAGAACAAACAGTGCGTGTGATACTACAGGTTACAAATAGAAAAAGAGAACAAACAGTGCGTGTGATACTACAGCTAACAAATAGAGAAGAGAACAAACAGTGCGCGGGATACTACAGGTAACAAATAGAAAAGAGAACAAAGAGTGCGCGGGATACTACAGGTTACAAATAGAAAAGAGAACAAACAGTGCGTGTGATACTACAGGTTACAAATAGAAAAAGAGAACAAACAGTGCGTGTGATACTACAGGTTACAAATACAAAAGAGAACAAACAGTGCGCGGGATACTACAGGTAACAAATAGAAATGAGAAGAAACAGTGCGTGTGATACTACAGGTTACAAATAGAAAAGAGAACAAACAGTGCGCGGGACACTACTGGTAACAAATAGAAAAGAGAACAAACAGTGCGTGTGATACTACAGGTAACAAATAGTAAAAAAGACAACAAACAGTGCGCGGGACACTACTGGTAACAAATAGAAAAGAAAACAAACAGTGCGCGTGATACTACATGTAACAAATAGTAAAGACAACAAACAGTGCGCGGGACACTACTGGTAACAAATAGAAAAGAAAACAAACAGTGCGCGGGACACTACTGGTAACAAATAGAAAAGAGAAGAAACAGTGCGCGTGATACTACATGTAACAAATAGTAAAGACAACAAACAGTGCGCGGGACACTACTCGTAACAAATAGAAAAGAAAAGAAACAGTGTGCGTGATACTACACGTAACAAATAGAAAAGAAAACAAATAGTGCGCGGGATACTACAGGTAACAAATGGAAAAGAGAACAAGCAGTGCGCGAGATACTACACGTAACAAATAGAAAAGAGAACAAGCAGTGCGCGAGATACTACACGTAACAAATAGAAAAGACAACAAACAGTGCGCGTGATACTACACGTAACAAATAGAAAAGACAACAAACAGTGCGCGGGATACTACACGTAACAAATAGAAAAGAGAACAAACAGTGTGCGTGATACTACAGGTTACAAATAGAAAAGAGAACAAACAGTGCGTGTGATACTACAGGTTACAAATAGAAAAAGAGAACAAACAGTGCGTGTGATACTACAGCTAACAAATAGAGAAGAGAACAAACAGTGCGCGGGATACTACAGGTAACAAATAGAAAAGAGAACAAAGAGTGCGCGGGATACTACAGGTTACAAATAGAAAAGAGAACAAACAATGCGCGTGATACTACAGGTAACAAATAGAAAAGAGAACAAACAGTGCGTGTGATACTACAGGTTACAAATAGAAAAGAGAACAAACAGTGCGCGGGATACTACAGGTAACAAATAGAAAAGAGAAGAAACAGTGCGCGGAATACTACAGGTTACAAATAGAAAAGAGAACAAACAGTGCGTGAGATACTACACGTAACAAATAGAAAAGAGAACAAACAGTGCGTGTGATACTACAGGTTACAAATAGAAAAGAGAACAAACAGTGCGTGTGATACTACACGTAACAAATAGAAAAGAGAACAAACAGTGCGTGTGATACTACAGGTTACAAATAGAAAAGAGAACAAACAGTGTGCCTGATACTACAGGTAACAAATAGAAAAGAGAACAAACAGTGCGCGTGATACTACAGGTTACAAATAGAAAAGACAACAAACAGTGCGCGGGATACTACAGGTTACAAATAGAAAAGAGAACAAACAGTGTGCGTGATACTACACGTAACAAATAGAAATGAGAACAAACAGTGCGCGTGATACTACAGGTTACAAACAGAAAAGAGAACAAACAGTGCGCGGGATACTACACGTAACAAATAGAAAAGACAACAAACAGTGCGCGTGATACTACACGTAACAAATAGAAAAGAGAACAAACAGTGCGCGAGATACTACACGTAACAAATAGAAAAGACAACAAACAGTGCGCGAGATACTACACGTAACAAATAGAAAAGAGAACAAACAGTGCGCGTGATACTACAGGTTACAAATAGAAAAGACAACAAACAGTGCGTGTGATACTACACGTAACAAATAGAAAAGAGAACAAACAGTGCGTGTGATACTACAGGTTACAAACAGAAAAGACAACAAACAGTGCGCGGGATACTACACGTAACAAATAGAAAAGACAACAAACAGTGCGTGTGATACTACAGGTAACAAATAGAAAAGAGAACAAACAGTGCGCGTGATACTACAGGTTACAAATAGAAAAGACAACAAACAGTGCGCGGGATACTACAGGTTACAAATAGAAAAGAGAACAAACAGTGTGCGTGATACTACACGTAACAAATAGAAATGAGAACAAACAGTGCGTTTGATACAACACGTATCAAATAGAAAAGAGAACAAGCAGTGCGCGAGATAGTACACGTAACAAATAGAAAAGACAAACAGTGCGCTTGATACTACACGTAACAAATAGAAAAGAGAACAAACAGTGCGCGGGATACTACAGGTTACAAATAGAAAAGAGAACAAACAGTGCGTGTGATACTACACGTAACAAATAGAAAAGAGAACAAACAGTGCGTGTGATACTACAGGTTACAAATAGAAAAGAGAACAAACAGTGCGTGTGATACTACAGGTTACAAATAGAAAAGAGAACAAACAGTGCGTGTGATACTACAGGTAACAAATAGAAAAGAGAACAAACAGTGCGTGTGATACTACAGGTAACAAATAGAAAAGAGAACAAACAGTGCGCGGGACACTACTGGTAACAAATAGAAAAGAGAACAAACAGTGCGTGTGATACTACAGGTAACAAATAGTAAAGACAACAAACAGTGCGCGGGACACTACTGGTAACAAATAGAAAAGAAAACAAACAGTGCGCGTGATACTACATGTAACAAATAGTAAAGACAACAAACAGTGCGCGGGACACTACTGGTAACAAATAGAAAAGAAAACAAACAGTGCGCGGGACACTACTGGTAACAAATAGAAAAGAGAAGAAACAGTGCGCGTGATACTACATGTAACAAATAGTAAAGACAACAAACAGTGCGCGGGACACTACTCGTAACAAATAGAAAAGAAAAGAAACAGTGTGCGTGATACTACACGTAACAAATAGAAAAGACAACAAACAGTGCGCGTGATACTACAGGTAACAAATAGAAAAGAGAACAAACAGTGCGCGAGATACTACACGTAACAAATAGAAAAGAGAACAAACAGTGCGCGAGATACTACACGTAACAAATAGAAAAGAGAACAAACAGTGCGCGTGATACTACACGTAACAAATAGAAAAGACAACAAACAGTGCGCGTGATACTACACGTAACAAATAGAAAAGAGAACAAACAGTGCGCGTGATACTACACGTAACAAATAGAAAAGACAACAAACAGTGCGTGTGATACTACAGGTTACAAATAGAAAAGAGAACAAACAGTGCGTGTGATACTACAGGTTACAAATAGAAAAGAGAACAAACAGTGCGCGGGATACTACAGGTAACAAATAGAAAAGAGAACAAACAGTGCGCGGGATACTACAGGTAACAAATAGAAAAGAGAACAAACAGTGCGCGTGATACTACAGGTAACAAATAGAAAAGAGAACAAACAGTGCGTGTGATACTACAGGTTACAAATAGAAAAGAGAACAAACAGTGCGTGTGATACTACAGGTTACAAATAGAAAAGAGAACAAACAGTGCGTGTGATACTACAGGTAACAAATAGAAAAGAGAACAAACATTGCGTGTGATACTACAGGTTACAAATAGAAAAGAGAACAAACAGTGCGTGTGATACTACAGGTTACAAATAGAAAAGAGAACAAACAGTGCGCTTGATACTACAGGTAACAAATAGAAAAGACAACAAAAAGTGCGCGTGATACTACACGTAACAAATAGAAAAGACAAAAAACAGTGCGCGTGATACTACTCGTAACAAACAGAAAAGAGAAAAAACAGTGCGCGTAGTACTACACGTAACAAATAGAAAAGACAACAAACAGTGCGCGTGATACTACACGTAACAAATAGGAAAGATAAGAAAAAGTGCGTAAGAAATTACATTAAAATATCGTTGGGAAGATGCTATATGTAATAAAGAGCAAACTAAAAGACTGTAAAATAAATATGATGAGAACTATGAATTTTGATATTCCTCGCTGCAGTAAAATACTGACAATGGTAGCGATGGTTTTAATGTTAAGTATTGTGATACCGATTAGTTTTATTGTTAATTAACGAATATTAGTTTGTTGATTTACATCATATAATTTTGGTAAATAGACTAGGATCACTCATTAATTTCTGAAAAAATTGGTAAAAAAGTTTTTTGGATCTCTGAAATAGACTTCAAGTTACTGTTTGGCATTGAATGTTACTGATGTATGTTGTTTTTTATTGACTGGTCGTCTTCTTTTGCATAAGGCCTTTTTTCTTCCTTTTTTTTTTTTTTTTATATATTCACTCACTGTCATCGATCCATCTTTCCATCTTTCCATCTTTTATTCCCTTAGTGATCTATTTATTCATTAATTCATTCTTTTCTCAATCATGTATTACTTCATTCATTCATTCATTCATTTATCCATCCATTAATTTACTCACTTGTCCTTTCATACCCTCTTTTTATTTAGTCATTCATTTATTTCTTCGTTCGGAAATTCAGTAATGCAATTACTCATTGATTCCATCTTTCCTTCTTTTTTCATTTCACAGATATTCAGGTCACCGTTTTGTGACAACTCTTTTGTATTCTATTCTCTTGGGATTCCTTGGTGTAGACCGCTTCTGTTTGGGACACACTGGCACAGCTGTGGGTAAACTCCTTACACTCGGGGGGCTGGGAATTTGGTGGATTGTGGATGTAATTCTGCTTATAACAGGAAACCTTAGACCTGAAGATGAGAGCAATTGGGTGCCATTCTATTGAAGGATACAAATGTACATGTGGACAGGATTTCTGTATGGAATCAGATTGCAGGAAGCATACCAATCTGGTTTAGCATCATTGTATGCTTCGTTCGAGATAATTCAAATACATGCGTTTTACACGGACTTGTGGCATGATGATGTTCCGAGGCAATTCTGCGCGTATATTTAGTTTTTAAAGAGAGACCATACCTGCCAGAGTATTCCTGAAAATGACTGTTGCTGGCTGTAAACATTTCGGCAATCCGTGGATAGGCTTGTTAAGAGTCAAGTGAGAACGATATCGTCCACAACCTTGAATGTCGTATCAGAACTTGACAGGAGTAGAAACACATCACTCTACAGGCAAGCTACATTAACATGTGCAGGTGCTTGCACTACAAGAAGGCCCGGAAAGGCACTGTAGATGGAACAGGCAAACATGATGAGATATGCATCTCCGTGGCATGTTTGCTTTGACAGCAAAATTATAACGTATTCGTAGAATACTTGGAAGGACAGTTGAAAAACATACACTTGTTTTTATTTAAGTATATAAAAAATAGTGAAATTAAAGAAGAACTCCAAATTGCCAGACGAAGAAAAGCACTTCTGTCTGTTTATTGATCCAAGGTTTCCGCTGAAGCTTGAGAAAAGACCCGTGAAGAACTCCCTATAGATAGTTTAAGACTGGATTAATAAATGTGTACAGCTTCGTTTTGTAAACTGTATGAACCAGTTCAATTATTTTGTGGTCAGTTGAAATATCTACCAGTCAGATCACAAGAGTCAGATGTTGGTAGCATTCTCCTCCTTCCTCCCTGCCCCCTTCCCCCTCACCCCTCCCCCCTCCCCCCGTTCCCCGTCCTTGCTTTCCCTCTACAGCTTATCAAATGGTATCAGTTGGTAAAAACTCCAAAACTGAGATTTTTCGCAACCCCCACTTATTTCATTCACACGTGACAAAAACATAGGCAACTTTTTGGCCAGAAGTTCATTTCAAACCAATGACCGATCTGGAACTTTTAAATGCGCTCGTTCAAGATGTAAAACTTGTTCTTTCATTCATAACGTAGAGAAAATATCGGGACCCAAGAGATCCATTAAGATCGCTGATCACTTAACGTGTACTTCCGCCAATGTTATTTACTGCATAACTTGCAATTATTGCAATAAGTTATACATTGGCGAAACAGGAAGACGACTAGGTGACCGATTCCGAGAACACCTTCGCGACGTGGAAAGAAATGACAAGGACGCATCTAAACCAGTGGCTAGATACTTTAATCTCCCTAATCATTCTAAACAGCGTATAGCAGTTTGCGGCCTTTCCTTACATCTAGGCAGTTCGGAAAGCCGCAAAACACCAGAACAAAAATTTATCTTCCAAATCGGCACCCTTAATCCCCACGGAATCAACAAGCGCTTTTCATTCAATTAATTTATTCCTGTTTTCTCGTCACCATATTCCCACCAATAGCGTAGCTTCACTTTCTGCATATAAACTCACACAACCCACAATTCCTCCAATCGCTCTGACGAAGGGCTAACGCTCGAAACGTCAGCTTTTTTACCCTTTACGGTGATCAATTTACGTTTTCAACGCAGTTGTTAACACTAAATTACCTGCTATGCCCTCCCACCGACGCAGCACCACAGTTTCTTTAGAAACATACCCCCTTTATTCATTTTTTATTTATCTTCTTCGATGGCAGCGTTGTAAACCTCCCGAGAAAACATAGGAATGTGCTTTAAATTGATTGCCTAGGAAATCACTACCAAATTTCCAATAGTTATATAGTCGGTATTGATTGTCCTTACAAAAAAACCCCGAATCGCACATTAAGATCACGAGAATGGAGGAAATTATCAAAAGCTGAGGGAGCACTTGATTGTTAAACAAATCCTCCTTCAGCACCTTAAAAAATGTGTAGATAGCATTATTAGGAATATACTCACTGACGTTACTTAGCGTGCAATCTGTTTGTCAATATGTGCACTATCTGAAAACGAACCTTACTCAACACAGACTACACCTAACCTTGACTAATAATAGTCCTTTTCGGCGAAATCTGTCGCGTGGATCAAAAAAATTCAGTGACAAAAAAAATATATCAATGTTAGCGCGCAGAACTCTGGGAGTGAGGGGCAGGAAAGTACTTTATGAGTGCCTTCACTCCCGCAGTTCCGCGCGGCGCGCCAACATCTCTTTTTTTTTATTAAATTTTGTTATTATTTTATTACTGCGGCGAACGCCTAACCTTATATGGAGTATAATCAGCCTGAATATAATCACTTCTTGAAATAATTCAGAAATGAAAAAATTCCGTCTACATTCAGGTTGTTTTTAAGTAGTGCTATGGATATGAAGTTCGCTTATCATGCGATCGGCCTGATCGACTTCGAATTCTGGCAGTCTGTTTTTCTTGTTTAAAACTTTACACTCAAGGAGCCTCCGAAGTTTCATTATAAATTTGTAACAAATAATTAAAGACGCACTTGTCACTCTTCGTTTTGCCTTTCATTTTATTATATAGTTTTGTCAAACAGCAGTGTTTTCAAAATTACAAAAAAAGAAAACACATCCTTCTGTTCTAATTTATCTGGATCTATATCTGCAGTACTGTTTGGAGGAGAACTAGAGAGTAAGGACTTACTACACTGTTTATCAGCTAACCGGCATAGTAACCCAAGTAGGATGTTTGAAGAACACAAGAGTGTTAGTTTAACTAATAACCTTAGTTAGAGGTTTAATACCCAGGAGTGATTAACCTGTAACTTCTCCCTGCAATTCCAATATGTTATCTAGCAAACAGGTAAGGATAGTAGACCAGCTTATCAGCAATAAAACTAAATTTCCCTGTCGAATTTACCAGGAACTGTACAGTAGTCGGTAGAGAAACAGAAATTGGGTTCCTGTACTTGAAGGCTAAAGCCAGCAGATCGATAGTAATTGCATTCTTTTGCTTTTTTCCAATCTATGGATTGAAAGGTACAAAAGAGTATAGTTTTTTGTACCAATGAGATTGTAGTTATTTTCTCATTTATTTTATAGCTTGCTGTGAAGACAGCGAAAATTTGGGAAAAATTCCTTAACCGATTATAGAAAATACATAGGCATGCAACGCAAGCAAAAAAAAAGTTATTTTTATTTCGTAGTTAGCACATGAGCGATTACTCTTCCGTTACTTTTCCAATAGAGGGTTCGGCAAACGCGTAAATTAAGTTGTTGTACTTAATTTTCCTTTTCGAACTTTTTGGTTTTGCTCTTTTTGCGTTCTATTAAAATTAATTCCAAAAAGCCGCTGATATCGGCAGATTGCCGTGTTGCCTAGCGGATGTGAGCTCCACTTGCGAAACAGGTGTACCAGGTTCATTCCATCGCAGGAACGGCTAAATTCCCTTTTTGTCGTTCTTTTTCCTCTCTCTCTGAGGAATAATATTATCGATTAAATTATTTTATTCTTTTGCATCTTTAGAACTTGTCCCATCCTCAACTATATAAGTTACCTTTCCTGGTCCACAGATCACATTACCTCTTCCTTCTTTTTCATACTCATCTAACCACAAGAATATTGTTCAAATCTATAGAAATGAAAATTATCCTTTCACATTATCCTTGACGCTTATTTAGTCCTAAAAATAATAAGTGTGCAACTTTTCTTCTAGAAATAGTCATCCCACGATCACAAAATAATGAAGAAAAATTAAATGTTACAAGCGCTCTTCGACATGCTAAGAGCCAATGAGGGAATAAGAATGAACTATTCTTTCGGCTTTCTTTCTGAATCGCTGGCTGCTGAAAATGTGCCACAAATCGTGCACGTGTCAACATCAGTGATTGGATGTTGTTTTCTAATTCATATTCATGAGAATCAAAGAATTCAGCCCAAACCACGTTAGTCGTCGATGTGTTAGGGCTTGTATGATGAGCTCTGCATACGAGCTGAAGTGAGCTTTGAAGATGTATGAAGAAACGTTCATTGCATGGTGTATACTTTACTTCAATAAAGGTAAATACGGAAATGTTCTTTTGGCAAATATGAGAGTTAAGTTGCAGAATGTTACCTTCGCTAGTGAACACGTGCGCGAGCTGTCGGCTTTCGGCGTCGGTCGCCAAAAGCAAGAAACAGTACATTTATGGGATAAAACTGAAGTTTCTTACCAAGTTCTTAAACAGAATATACGAAAAATTTGAACAAAGAGAAGCAATCAGAACATTTTGCTCAGAAAACCTAGAACACGTCTTAAGTCTTCTACGAGGCCCCGTGTATTGAATAATTGAATTCTTAGGTGCTGAAGCACTCCAGTGTTTCACGTTTCTGCTTTAACTTGTGGAGTTTATGAATCGGAGCAAAATCCAGTTAACCAAGATTTAGCCTGTTGCTTATCAGTGGAATTTTACGTTTATATTTTAGGAAGCCATATTAGCGAAAATAGTTGTGCACTGTTGGTCAAGAGGACAAATGGAACCACTGGAATGAAGATAAGATTATCGACAAAGATAAGAACTTTAAGTTATTTACAATTTGTAGTAAAATGGTGACCGGACTATGTCAAAATATATTCATGAGCTTCACTTCTGATTGTACGTACCAAATCAGATTTGTGAATTATCTGCATAGACTGAAAATACCAGAAAAGAGTAAATGGTACAAACGACATAGCTCAGTGAGGTACGTGTTGTTTTGCAGATCAACATGCAATTTTGGGGCGAATCAATAAAACAAATTATTTTATAACATAACCGTCTCTTAAACAAAAGATTAGACAAGTTTTCGATTGTAATCTATATTTCTTGTTCTTTATCTTTGGATGAAGTGTATTCAAATAAATTTCTGCGTTGATATGATTTGGTTGTTCGTTAGACCAAAAACAAAGACGAATTTACAATTTCATATCTGGCCAATTTCTCGGTCTAAATTTTCAGAAATGCAAATCAGCCAGTACCTCAAGTCACCATAGCCTACAGTAACAACATTTCGTGGCCGCAAAGAATGAATTTATGGTGGAACTGTAAGTCATATAGGAAAGTGAAAAACTCGTTCCGAAGGAAATTTTTTTTAGAGAGAGAAAAGCATCAATTGGTTGAAAACTAAAAATTCAAAGTTCGCAATAGTTCATTGTTCGCAATAATTGGAGAAGACACTCTGCTACAATGTTGAGGAAGAAAATGATTAAACATTTGTTTCTCTCTTTGGGTTCATTTGGTCAAAAATAGGGAAATCATCAGGCACTAACCGCTGATTTTGCCCAATTTTCATATCGTGCAGTTGACAGTGCCACCTTAAATTACATCCATTTGCTTTGGCCATAAAGTTGTTAAATCATAACCGACAAGAGAACAATGGCTCTTTTTCTTTTTGTTTCCATTTGCCTCGTTTTGTGCGGGAGATAGGAACGTTTTCAAGAAGAACGGCGACATGAAACTCGCTCGCAAACAATTTACGTTAAGGGAACACTCCTTAAACTGTTGACACAACTGAAACGAACATGCTCCTGACGTCTACTTCAGTAACGATACAATTAATGTAGGATACTTGCTGGACCATCCCGTGGATTCTGCAACTTTGAATCATTCACGACGACATGACTACAATATGACACTGTTTACTATTGTAGACTGACTGAACATGAAGGGGACAAAAAGTCATGTCAGCAATGGTCGGTACTGCTGTGTACGACCCACTTACAGACAGCAATGTTTACT